AAATATCAAAACGAAAAATCACAAAACAAGAGAGAGAGAGAGAGAGAGAGAGAGAGAGAAGAAGAAGAAGAAGAAGAAGAAGAACACAACCAGATTTAACGTGGAAAAACCTTCTCCAATGAAGAAGTAAAAACCCACGGGACCTAGTCCAGATAAAAAATCCACTATGAAAATAATGGTTACAAATAATCAAATACACCAATGTGGTGGTTAACTCAACCTCTCCAACAATGGTGATAATCAAACTACCCTAGAGATGTTTCACTCAAACTCTCTCTAGAGATCTCTCAGATGCAAAGCATAAAGCTTTACTTAAACAATCAAATAATTTTTCTCTCAAATTTGTTCTCTCAAATATGACCTAGCCTCCACCCACAACTAATGAGTATATATATAGAAGAGGTGGAAATTAGGGTTAGGGTTTTTAAGAAACCCCTCAAATGGGCTTGGGCTTAGCATTGAAGGAGGAAGCCCAACATGTATATAATGAGAGAGTAACTGACAACTCTATTGAAAAAAATCAATGAGTAGGTAAAGAAACATATGTAAAAGCATTGATAATGTAGCCAATGTAGTCTTCTTACATGAGGATGTTCAATGGAAGACCAAGAGAATTAAACTTTGAAACAAATTTCCGTACTGATGGCATTGAACTAAGATCTAACTCTCCATGGCATCAACTTTGGCAGTGGGAATCTCCTTAAGTATTGCTTCCTTGACATCTATAGCAGCAATCATATTTCTCACCCCCATTTTCACATGGAACTCGTGCATTTTCACTGCCAATACCTTTGGTTGTTAAGTAATTATGAGAATGTCCACCACTAATGCATCATGCATGGACGAATCTTCAAATATCTTTACCAATCTCCCTCCAATAGGTTTTAAAGATAATTCGCAGGGTGTACGCAGTTCAATTTAGTTTGGTTTTCTTGGTTGAATCCAATTGAACTGGAAAAAAATAATTCAATTCAGAGTATTGAAGTGGTTTATTTATTTTGAACTGTTTTTGAACCAAATTTGAATTGGTTCTGAACCAGTTTAGAACTAGTGGTACAACAACCATATATGAACAATATATTGAAGAATTATAGTCCAATAAATTGGATCAGTAATATGTCAAAATATCCTAGACTTATTGATAAGTCTCTTAAATGAGACTTGGAACACATGGTTTAATATGTAAATGGAGAGAAAAGAAGAAATTTTGTAGTAAAAGCCCCAAATTTATGCTGAGTTGATATTTATTGGTTAAGTGCTAATGGGCTGTAAGTTTTTATTTTCAGGCCTAGTGTTGCCATCCAAATCAGAAAAATCCAAGAAAAGTCAGAAAGTAGAAAAAGCAAGAAGAAAAAGAGTGGGACAATCTTTTACAATGCAAAAGCCCAATTGAAGAAAAAGAAAAGAAGTGATCGAAAATAAAGAGACAGAATCAGAAACGGAGAGAAAGGGCTGAGAAGAGAAACCCTAGCACACATCGTGCGAAAAAGACCCACCTCCATTCGACTGCAAATCCACACCATCCATCCCGATTCCCTGCCACAAATAGACCCGTAAAGCCAGACCACTCCTTGTCTATGGTTTATTCATCAAGTTTAACCCTCACCCACGGTCCATTGAGGGATTAATCAAACCTTAACCATTTGTTATTTATACAAAAAAGGCCAAACAAAACCCTTAACTGAGTGGGTGAGCTGGATTTTGTTGTGAGTGGAGGCTGAAGCAATTTTTCGAATTGTGGGAGTGAGGTGTGGAGCAGCTGGGGACCACTGATGTGTAACGCGCAAGGAGCGCGAGATGCTTGATAAGGTGTGAGGCAGAAACCCGTACATGCGAAGGAAGAAATATAAAGAGAAGAAATAGTGAGTGTGTGGCTCTCTCTGGATTTTACATCTGGTTTTACCTTTTATTTTAATGTACCCTTTTATGGAGATTTTATTTTTCTTTGTTTTGGTACTGTAATGAAGTCTGCTTTTTATTCCCTCATGTTGGTACAACACTGAGAATTTTCCGGTCATTAGGACTCATGTTGTACCTCTATTTTCAGTACTTTTCTTTTTTATAATTTAAATATTCGCTTGCTGTTTGCAGCTCAACCCTCATGGGTATGAGCTAATTTTTCTCTAGGTTGGGTGTAGGTACCCGAACCTCAGTTATGAATTTGTGTTGATTGCTTTTGTTAAAAATTTGATTCCCAGTTGTTTAATGTTGTGTTTGAATTTAAAGATAATTCCCTGTTAAGACCAATTGTTAAACACATGGACTTGAGTGTGAGAGCACTCAAGAGATGTTACTCAGAGATGAGAACAGCCTCCATGTAATTTTGGTTTGGAACTAAAAGGGTCTTTACTTCGTTTAGCACAGAAATATGCAAATGTTCGTTTAGGACAAGAATGGTTTTAAGAGATTAAAATCAATATGAAACAATCCATCACTTGGAAATTAATTTTTAGTGATTTGTAATTAGCACTCATTCAGAGGCTATTGGGAAGGGGAACCGAAACTCAACCTACTTTACAACTTATTTTTCACCAACTTAGATTTCTTTTCCTTTGATTTTCAATATCTCACTTCTAATTCTGTTTACTAATTCCTTTATCTAAAAAATCTTTTTCAATCAAATGTTTAATTTGTTTTCTTTTCCACTTTCCAATCTTCAGTTCAAGAAATCAAATATGAAAATATATAAAAAAAAAAAAAATACTTAGTGTCACTGGTCAGTAGCATTTTAACTCAGGTTTTGAGATTATTTTGTTTCTTTTTATTGTTACCTCATTTTTAGATTAAATTCAGTTTTAGCAATTACAAAGTTTAGTCAAGTTGCACGCTAAAGATCCTTGTGGGAACAATAAAAGGGTCTCAAATACGCCCTGTATTGTTGTCGCGTATACTTGCACGCATACTTGCATAATTGTTAGCAAGGCAACACTTTTCAATGTTACAAAAGATTTTGTACAACGATTGAATATGATATAAGTAAAGCATTATGTATGATAAAAACAAATGAGCAGAATAACAAAAAAAAAAACAGTTCAATTCATTAATTGATTTTAAAAAACTAATTCGATTAATTAATAGCACATTTATCTCAAACTAGTTGGGATAAATAATAGATGAACTCAAATGAAAAATACGAAAAGCTTATAGGAAAAATGATAAGAAATTTAAAAAAATTATGATTGATACAAGAAATTAAAAAAACAATAAACATTTAAAAAATAAAATAAAGTGGAAATAAAGATAAATAAAAGAGAAAAATATATAAGAAAAAAAAAACCAATTCGGCTCATGAACTAATTTTTTTTAATCAGTATAATTCATGAACTAATTTTTTAAACCAAATTGATTCAAGAACTGTTTTTTTAATATCAGTTAGGTTCATAACCTTAAACCCTAAAAAATAAATTAAGTTCATGAATTATTTAAAAAAAAAAAACAATTTTTAAGCGTAGTATACTTCTCGTCACAAATATCTCTTTATAAGTTAGATATTTAAATATTTATCTAATAGATATTTAAAACATACGAAATCTCTTCCATCGTATTTTAGTAAGCCATTTGTTTGCTTTCCTTCCCACTTGAAGTTACAATCCCTTCAAGAGGAAGTGGTCTGGACTGGGCTGACTATTTAGTTGGCGAATTAATAACATGAAGAAAGAATGGTATTTAATTGGAATAAAACTAAAAAATTTAGTGGCCCTGATTTATAATAAATAGATAGAATTATTAAAAAATAGTATTAAATTACAAGGCCTAACATATTAGGGGCTTATGCTTGAGGTACCATATCTGTAGTTGAATTAGAAAATATTAAATGTCAAACAAAATTTAAAGTCAAGTTAATTTTGTTTTTTTTTATACTATCTGTCCTTTAAATTTTTTTTTTTCTTTCAATAAGCTTCGATCACTTTAGTCAGCACTGAAAAGGTGATCTTACAAAGTAGTAGCATATATGTCTCTTCATCAATTAAATGTATCACAGGCTACTACAAAGTGTCGTGTGTCCATATCTCCCCATTCAGAGCCCGTCTCTTTGGGGGCTTTTTTTTTTTTTTTTTTTTTAAGTAATTTTTATGCCTTACTTATTTTAGAAGTATTTTTTATAAAAATTAAATTTATTTATATTTAAAAAAAAATTAGCTTTTGATTTCATCTTTTTTTAGAAATTAAATTTTGTTTTCAAGAAAATGAGATTTTTGACTTTTTTTTGTGTATTTTGCTTTTTTCGAAAATAGACATCTAAAAGAATTTATAGTAAAAAGTGCTTTTTTGTATAAAAATAATAATTTTTTAAGAGAAAAAAAATTAATCCAAACGAGCCCTTTGAGACCCATTTGACAACTCATTAGTTACTTTTAAATTAAAATTAAAATTAAGCTAAAGTTATTTAATAAGTATATAAAATTGGTAGGATGATTTTGAAAGATAAAAGATAAATCAATTTATTATTAAATATATTATTAGAATAAATGATACAATTTATAAATACAAATTTAGAATAAAGGTTAAATTGTAAAATAAATGAGTAAAAAAATTTGACATATATTCTAAAAGAAAAACTGCTCTTGAAAGCTTTTAACTTTTCTTTTCATTAAAAAAAAAAATAATAATCTATTTTTATAATAAGAAATTTTATAAAAATCTATTTAAACTAATTTCTATTTATAAGGAAAAGAGAAACTAAAAATTAAACTCTCGAAGAGACACTGACTGTATTTTACTTTGTTTGCATGTCAGCAATAGCAAAAATCTCTACGAATCAATGATAATAAAAAGTGCTGTTCAGATTTTGAACAATGTTTCTGAATTTAATGTGCTTGCTTTATCAAGGGAAAAAAGAATAAAAGGAGTAATTCAAAAAAAAGAATAAAAGGAATAGGAAGTATTTGATCAATTTATTCAAACTATCATTAAAGTAAATTAGACTAATGATCAGACAACAGGGAATTCAGAAAATTTAAGGTATAATTTTGAAGTAAAAAAGAAATAGACAACAGGGA